CCCCCCGCCGCAAAGCTCGGCTCACTGCTCCCAACCATCCTCCACTCCCAAAGACTTCCCCCACCACCTTCCACACTTATTTTCACTTATTTATTTATTTACTTATTTTTACTTTGAAATCATGACCCGCCCTTTGCTCCAGAAAAAAAGTTGGTTTCTTTGGTTTGCGGTCCAGTTCTTCTGGTCCCTGACATCCGACATTGTATCGCGATTGCTGGTGGCGACGGCTAGCCCGGGGCTTTCTAAGCCTCTCTCCACCCGGGAAGATGAACTTGTGTCTTTCTGCTCCTTGGGAACAGAGTTCTGTGTTTACTTTCGCACGCGGGATTTTTCCACGCGCGACCGATTCCTCCCTGTCCCGCTCCACATTCCATTTAAACATCCCTACTACGACCCACGGAAGTTCCTGGGGGATGTATGGGAACGTTCACCCACGGACTGTGCTGTACCCACATAAACACTCCCGTGAGCAGCACAGAGAGATGAGCGAAAGTGCAGGGCCACTCCCCGCCCACTTACTGGAGATCCACAGAGCATCCGTACCGTGGAGAATCTTTTAGAGAGACTGCAGGGGTTGAAAGCGGCAGCGTGAGCCCACGCACCTTCATTTCCCCTGAATTTGAGCAAAATCTTTTTAATCTTTCAGTTTAGAGGCGCGAGAGCTAAATGTGTAATTATCTTTTGAGCCCAAGACAATTAGGATGAATTGATGCTCACATTCAAGGAGCGACAGTTGGGGTGTTGGGGAGAAAAATACCACCTGACTCTGACTTTCCTTTTTTCAACCTTATTGAGGTAAAGGGGCTTGTGGGAGGAGCCAGGGGCCTCTTTGAAATGGACTTGATGTGGAATTATTTGTTTCACAAGTAGGGGAGTTTTCAGTTTGAATCAGAGGCGAAGTTTGGAAAAGTTTCTATTTTGAAGATGACAGAGACGTTATGAGAAATGCTTTCTTGCTTCGCTTGAGCACATTCTCTCTATTTTTAACTTACTATTTAGTTCTTTTTCGTTTAATGATGGCTAGTCTTACCCAAGCAGCTTTGTTTTGTTTCTTCTGGGGGAAGGGGTGGAATTATAATTAATAAAAATGCCAATAATTGCTCTGGAGGCTCAGGGTTAGGGACCTTTCCTGAAGAATGACT